ATTAAACTTGATCGTTTTGTACTTCGTTTTGGCGCAAAACTGCTATCCACTATCCGTGAGAATTGTGAACGTATTTTTATTATTTCATATTACTTATCCGATGACACAATACAAATCTTTGAGATTGCCGAACGCAACTCTGGATTTCTTGGTGGCGAGTTCATGAAGCGCACTCGGATACCGTTGCCGGGGCAGGAAAAGTTCACGTCGAGGCGCCCGCAATACTATCAGCCATATAATTTTTATATTGGCGCAACAATAAGCCTGAAGGACCACATATTCCACATTGTTTCGGCTGACGAATACACACTCATCTACATGGAACATCATCCATATGAGGTGCGTAAAACGAACATTTTTGTGTTTGCAGCTGCTCTTTCCATTTGCAAACATTTTCATTCTAGTTCCCAATGGCTGATATCAAATCAGTAATGGCGAAAATTAGCGAAGCTGCAAAAGCTGATTACAAAGGCTTCCTATGTCAATGCCTACCCGAGGGCGTTGAGTCTAATAAAGATGTTCAATTTATTGGTTTTGATTCACTTAAACGTGCTCTTATAAATCTTTTGGGCGACAAGATCACTAACCACGAAATCATTACGGTCTGTCGCTATTTCTCCGCGGAGAAAGCACCGCCGCAGTCATGCAATCGGGAAACGGTACGTGCGGCTGTTCATTTGGAGTTGAAGCGCTCCCTATGGAATGCAATGGATGAACTGAAAGAACATTTGCACCACATCAATCCACTCAACAAGCCATTCCTCTCCGAGGCTAAACTACGTTCCACAATGAAAGGTTGCCGTTTACCTTTCGTTCCAGAACTAATCGACGATCTGCTTAGCGTTTTGAACCATAATGACTGCGGTGAGGTTGAGGTGTGCGACTTCCTTAACTTCATAGATATGGAATGTGGCAAGGTACCCGACATAGCGCCAATGAATATAAACTTTGAGCTATGCCCCAAGATACCTTTCCTGCATAAGGGCCGTTTGGTGAATATCACCTGCTTCCTTCAGCATCTGGGCTTAGATGAAGATGCAAAGCCAAAGGAAGATGAGGTTGTTTAATGTGAGGTCTAATTAGACCACTGAAAAGATATACCACTATTTATATAAGACTTAAATCTCTTGTCAACGCATTTTTACTTTTCACTATCACACATTACCAAAAGAAATCCTTGTAACAATAAAATTAACTTTTGTAAAGGAAAATATGTACATACTAAGCTCTGTTTTAGAAACGTATCACTCCATATTGTGTTCACATATCAATAATGCGCCAATAAAAATTTTACTAAATAAAAACGTGTAGTTGTTAATACATATCTCAAGCACGTATATAAAGGATACATAAAAACAAGATACATCATATCTCACCAAAGTAGAAATCAAGAATACGGCCACAGTATAAAAAAAAACATATGTATCCTTCAGAGATTATGGATTTAGCAAATAATCATTGACTTACATTTACATATGTAGTTTATTACATATTAGGAATGTTCAGAAAATAAAAATTTTAGCACTGTTATTTTCTCATTTACAACCGATGTAGAAAATAAAATTACTTTTAATACATATAAAATAACCAGATTTGCTGAGATCTGTTAAAAATGCACATTTATACAGTGAAGAAGATTATAGTAATCTCCAGTAAAATGACCTTACATAGAAGTGTGACTGTAGGTTAAGCAAATCGCTAGCATCTCAGCTAAGGGGACCGTTGTCAAGCAATTTGGGTTCACAAAATATCTTTCAGCTATCTACAATTTAGATTCGGTTAACCAGTTGAATGTCTGTGGTTTACGATCAGATGAAGGATTTATCGCCACATTAATGATAGTTGGCTTATCAGTAAGTTGCTGTGCTTCTCTGAGAGAATCCTGTAGTTCTGGTATCTCCTTGCAGAAATAGCCTTTCAACCCAAACATCTGCATCATTTCTTCGTAGTGCACTTGAACGCCCAACGCTGACGGTGGTGTTCTGCAATTGTAAACAAAATCTTATGTAATTAAAATATCAAAAAAAAAAAACTCCATCTTGGCTTACACTTTAGACAAATCACCAGAATTTTGAATGGCGTCAAAGGTTTCTTGATCGAAACCACCATAAATACCATTGTTATTGACAATGACTATAGTAATGGGTAGCTTATAGCGCACCATTGTTTCTAACTCCATTCCAGAGAATCCAAAAGCGCTGTCCCCTTCTACACATATCACACGTTTTCCGGGGAAACGATCGCGGCAGTAAAGTGCTGCCGCAATGGCGAAACCTGGACCAACACCCATAGTGCCGAAAGTACCAGCATCTAAGCGGTGGCGTGGCAAAATATTAAAAAGCATTGAACGACCAATATCCATGGTGTTGGCACCCTCACTAACAATTATTGCATCTCGTGGAATCAACTCACGCAAATGGTGAAACACTGTATAATAGTTAAGTGGTGAGGACGTATTCAACGCCATACGGCGCACTTGTTCGCGGTTGCTCTTGCATTTGTTGGCAAGTTCCTCCCACCAAGGATTGTCACTTGGAAATTCAAAGTTTACTGCATTCATTTGTTCAAAAATTTGCTCTGCAAATGGCTTAATGTCCGATTGTATAGCAATTGAAGATTGAACGGAGTTATGCAGCTCTTCAGGGCAAATGTCGACCTTTAAAATAAAAATTTATGTAAATCGAAAAATTTATATTTTACAAGGGCAATATCACTTGAATGAATTTGACATCAGCACTGTAACGTGGAGGCTTCCCAAAATGTAAAATCCAGTTAAGACGAGCCCCCAGTAGTAAAACAACATCAGCCTTCTGTAAAGCCAAGGATCGCGCAGACGAAACACATTGTGGCGCAGTATCAGACACAACACCTTTGCCCATTGGTGTCGGTAGAAAAGGCAAATTTGTATTTTCAACGAAATGGCGCAATATATTTTCTGCTTGTGCGTAGGCAGCTCCTTTTCCAATTATAACAAGTGGTCGTTTTGCAGAGCGCAACAAATTGGCAGCACGTATAACATCGTCATGAGCCGGATAAACAAGAGGCGGAACGGGATGGGATAATGCTTTGTAGATTTTATCCTGACGTACTCGTGATTGCAATATGTTGCCGGGTAAGTCAAGGTAAGAAACGCCAGGCCGTCCATATGTTGCGTAGCGTACAGCTTTTTCTACATGAAGTGGTATAAGCGAAGCCGTAGGCGGGCGCGCGGCATACTTGCAGTACGGACGAGAAATTTCAACTTGAGGATATTCTTGAAAGCCCCCGATACCTTCATGATCCTGACTTGTCGATCCAGCGATCACCAGCAGGGGCCAACAATTAACTTGTGCATTTGCCATGCCACCTAAAATCAAATAAACATTTTTTATTTACAATTTTGTCAACAGTTTCAATTGCATTCTGGCATACCGGTAACGTGGAGCAATCCTGGCCCAGAAACTACAAGGCACACAGCAGGTTTACGAGTTAAATATCCTATTGCTTGAGCGGCATAGCAGGCAGATTGCTCGTTTCGCATGCCAATGTATTTGAGTCCCGCTGCTTGAAAAGCCATTGACAATTCAATAACAGGTATCCCTATGATACCGAAAACATATTCAACACCCTGAAAATTTGTATTTTAAAGACAATTATTTCAGGTAAATGATAGCGGATAACGTTAAATTAAAAAGAAAAGCAGCTAACTCCGAGTTCAGTAGAATTGTTGGATAGCACGTTTATTTTCATGAATTACCCGAGAGAGCGCAAAAAATTTTACTAGCAGTAATTTGCTAGTTTAAATTAAGGTTATATTTCAAATTCAAATATAGACAAAGTATTTAACCCTCCATTACAGGCTAACCTAATATTCACGCATGCCACAAATTCGACGGCATGCGTACCAAAACGCAAGCCGCGAATATTAGGTTAGCTTGTTAGGGGTGTGGATTCTACTCATGCGGTTAGTCGCGGGATTACAATGGTAGTACAACATATTTCGCTGCTGTAATGTTTTATTTAAAAAAAAGTTTAATTGTTTCCAATAAACGTTTATTTATATTATTATTTTAAACGCGTAATTGATAGAAAAATTAAAGCAGGCAATGCGTGTTGTTTTGAGCCGTTTAATACCAGGTTCATAAAAATGATCATTTCAAATTTATAAAAAAAAATTAGGTTATCTTCACCTTCTTCATCCATCGAACTTTCCTCTTCACTAGAAAGCTCATCGAACCGTTTCATCCAAACACCAGGATCTGTGCTATGTTCAAAACGTATCTTTTTTGCATCAGATATTTCAATTTCCGTGTATAACAACATATGGCCCAAATCGCCGAAAACGAAACCAAGGGGAACAATCTGTTTTATCAGGTTTTTCAGATTTTTTATTATATCTGGGTCATACATATTCTAAGGTATCAGATAACAAAAATATTAACACGAATTTCCTTTTCTCAAACATGAAAATTCACTTAATCCTGAGACACCATTAAATTAACAAAAAATAAGAAAGCACAACATGAAACTAAAGGGTAGTTTATTGTTTGCATTATACTTGCTTCTCTTCACTTGCCTTGTATTACTTTGAAGTTAATAAAAAATGTATTCGACAAAAAAATCAGCGCGGAATCCACCAGTCTAAAAAAGGGAAAATCTAGTTTTCTTCGGGCATTTCTGGTCTTATTTTACAATAAAATAAATACTATACTCTTATTTATCCATGTGTTTTCGGTAGGAAGCTATTTGTAACGCAACAGTCTTTTCTATTGATTGAATTTTCATGTAACATTTTTTTCTTATTTAGTTAAAGATAGACCACGCAACATAGTAAGCTATTCAAAGTGTTGTTGTCCCATTGTTAAAATTTTTGTTATTTCTAACAGAAGATAAGAATTTCGTAGAAAAATCAAAAAGGAACGAGCTCAAAAGAAGCGAAATAAGAAACTAGAAGAAGAAGACGATTTTCCGAATATATAATAAAAAATCTATTGGAATTATTTCGCCTATTTTTCTAGTACTAAAATGCACTCTCGAATGGTGCTATAAGATGTTTCCTTTAACTGCCGTGTCCTTGAATCTAACATCGCCAAAGCAAACACATACTTTCTAACTCATTACGCCATCTAAAAACCTAATTTAAAATCCTAATTATAATCTTATCGCTACACATATATCGCGCAGGTAACGTAACAGTCTTTTTCTGTAGCGTAACAGTTCGATAATTTTTTTGCAAATATTTCCCTCAAAATTAATTTTATTAGTTAAATTAATACGTAGTTCTTAAGTTCCATCCTTAAGCTAAGAAAATGTGTACCAACTTTTGAAAACATTATATCGGGAGAGGCGAATTTTTCAATAATATAAATCAACTTTAAAAAGTACTTCCGAAAATTGTAATGTAACAGTTCGCTGTTGAAACATTCATAACTCTTAAACGACAGGAGTTACAATCCAAAATACTTCGGAAAAATACTAAGATTGAAGTTAGCTGGACCGATTTGAAAATAATCCAAGAATGGAGTTTTTTATGAATAAATATAGTTTATTAAAAAACTTTTTGAAAAAAGTCCCCTCAGATGACAAAACAGATTAGGCTTAAGAAATCTGCATACAAATATTTGATAATCTTTTCAACGGAATCGTAAGAATGAGATTTTTGATGCTGTTTTTTCACTTTTTCCAAGATTGATTTACGCAAAACTTGAATAATGGGCCAAAACTATTCTGATTTAGACTTATGAGATCTCAATAGAAAGGTATTGTCACACTGTTTTTATTTCTGTCCAAAAAAAGTCATTCGTGTTCGATTTTTTTTTTTTCAATAACCAACACAATCTAATTCAACTTTGAATGACGTTCATTCATCCTACCTTTCTCTTTCATCCTTTGTATGAGTTTATTAGCAAAAAAATAAAAAGGATGAGAAAATACCTTTCCAATGATACCTCTTAAGTCTAAATCGGAAAAGTTTAGGTTCAGTTATTAAAGTTTTTCTTATACCAATCTTTGAAAATAGTTAAAAAACAGCATCAAAAATCTCATCATTACGATTCCGTTAAAAATTTTTTTAACACATTTTATGCACATTTTTTAAGCTTAATCCGCTTTGTCGTGTGAGGGGATTTAAAAAAAAATCTTTAAGAAACTATTTTTCTTCATAAAAAACTCCATTGTTATTTATAAAAAACTCCATTTTTATTTATAAAAAACTCCATTTTTAGAGGTATTTTCAAATTGGTCCAGGTAAAGTATAATATATTTTATAATTCCTATGGAAAGATAGTAACGATTTTTTTTTTTTTGTATGGGGAGTGATGCAGTCTAATGTACACACATATGCACCCATATAACTTGATTTGAAGAGAATCGAATTTTCCTTGATAACTTTTTTTTTTTGATAATCAGCAAAACCAAATTTTTATTGATTTTTTCTGATACTTAAGAAAGCCCGTTATATACATAAGTTTGTCTGTATCTAGACTCACAAATCGGATTTTACGATTATTGTTGTCTGCATAATCCAATGGCGAAATAAAATCTTTATACCATTTTTGAAGTTGATACTACATTTTTACTGGATCATATATCATACATATTTATATGCGCAAATCTCCGGAACCGTGCGATTCGACGCTAAAAAATCGTAAATTTTTAAATTGAACGCTCACAAATAAATTATACATCAAATTGTTTGAAATCCATTGAGGAACCAGTAAATTCTTGTGTGATTTATTTTTCTCAAATGCTTAAAGAGTTATAAGTAAAAAACAATATTTTTCGAAAACTCATCGTTAGGGATACTTCTAGAGAGCGTAGTTTTTGTCCGATTTCAAAAATTTTTAAGGCAGTATTTAAAAACGTCAGGTGTAATGTGTACATAAAATTTGGTAACGATTGGTAAGTGGTTTTCGAGATACAAACATTTGACACAAGTGGGCGAGCCACGCCCAGTTTCCAAAAAATTTTACGAAAAACTACTTTTCGCTTAAGATTCCTTGAAAATATCATTTTGGAGTAAATATTTAAAAATTCGTTAGCCGCACTGCCCAAGAATCTGAAAATCCTTACATACACACATACAAATTCGTGGCCGTATTTTAGACTAAAATTATTTTATGTATTTAGAACTCGCTTAATGCCAACCTCTTATGCTTTAGCCTGTCAGTGTGCTATCAAACCAAGGGAAATTTGGAAGCCATTCACGCAAAGACCTATTCATACAATATTTGTTATATCCTTACTTACTAATATTATAAATCCGAAAGTGAGTTTGTTTGTTTGCTACGCTTTCACGCTTTAACTACTCAACCGATCATCATGAATTTTAGTACACTGCTGTCATTTAGCCCAACTTAAAATATAGGATAAATTTAATATTGATTAGACAAGGGGGCGTGGCACCTCCCATACAAACGGAATTTTTTATACTGCATTTCTAAGGAAATATTTTTGATAGATTACTGGAACTTTGTATGGAGATATATAAAATCATTATCTACGCATGGATGAGGGCTGCCACCTTTTAAAAAAATCAAATTCAACTTCAATTATGGGAGTTATTTATTTGAAAATTATATTAAAAAATGGATGTCAAGAAGCTTAAAAAAGCTGTAGTTCCAATATATTTTGAAACGGGTTGCCCCCTGTTTGAAAAGTCAAATTTAAATTAATTATACGCAAGCTATCGAAGAATTAAAATATGGTTGTCTAACGGAATATGGTTAAGAAACCTTTAGTTTGAAAGTTTTGAATAATATTTAAGTATTTCACAGGGTTGCCACCTTTTTAAAAATTAAATTCAATTATTTAAAATTAAATATTGTGGGAAAAGGCGAGCAATGGTTCTGGCGGTTGATTTATCGGTGGTGATTTGAGATTTACCACTGCACAACTCAACCTTGGTTTCTTCGAATGAAGCTTTAACGCATAATATATTGGCAAATCACATCCATTGAACCAATCGTAACGCACAAGAGTTCGATTTGACATTCACGGCACCTTTTCTAACTTGGCGATTATTCGTAATGACTCCAGCGCCCCCTGGCAGACCTTTTTGGAAAAAGTATTGCCTTTACCGTTACTAATACATATTTTGAATATTAGCCAAATTTATGAATAAGATTTTTAGTAATAACTCCAGCGCCAACAGGCGGGTGAAATTGTGAAGCTACACTACTCAGAGAGCCACTCAAAAGCACACAAAAAACTTCGTTAAAATCGGTCCGGGCATTTAGGAGGATTTCACTCACAAACACATATACAGAAGAATAATATATATATACGTTTTTACGGCGCTACGCCCTCTTTTCAAATAGCCCATTTTTCTCCATGAGTATAAGATTGATTTCATATATCGCCGTACCAAGTTCCGGTATTCTGCCATGAACACTTCCAGAGATATGCAGTATGAACAAATCGGTTTGTATGGGAGGTGCCACGCCCTCCTCATATATCGAATTTTTTTTTAGCCTATAACCATCCTTGGGACGTCTGAAGCAGATGCCCGAAATTTAAAAAAAAAATCGGTTCGTCCGTTCTCGAGCTTTGCGAACACATAAAAAACGGCTTTCAAAATATGTAGTGCTATAGAAGATTGGTATAAATTGAGATGGGTTTGAATATGTA